TATAACTTGTCAAACATTATGTTCAATATAAGGATGATCTATCTACCTATATCTCTATTTCCTATTGATTCTGTTTCTCTGGAGAACTTTGCCTGATACAGTTAGCGTTACATTAAGGAGATTTAAAGTAAAATATCACAATTTGACCTTGATTATTGATTATCAAACTAGGGGGCTATTTCTAACATCCCTGATGTTTAAAAGGAAACCTTCCCCCAAACAGAACACAAAACACAAACAAAATAAAGTAAGTGAACAATCCTTCACCAAATTGCTTCAAAGGAAGTTTTTATGATTCAAAGAGTCAATTTTATAGTAGAATTCCATCTTTTTTTCTCTCTCCCTCTTTTTTTCTCTTAGGAGATAGATTTGTGAGGCTGGGAGCTTATGGGGGGACCTAAGAAGGAAATTTAAGTTCACATAACAAAACAAAAACTGGTTACAACTCACAAACTAAGGATTTTCCCACTTAACCCTTTGAAGAACTATGCTGATCTGCATTTGGTACCATGACTCCACCCTCCCTCTGCTCCTGGCTCACCCCATTGTAGAAAAAGCCCCTTGGCCTTTCATACTTGCCAAGGACACTTGCCAAAGACTCGGAGGTGAAAACTGTCCAGGGCCACAAGACAGAGCTTAGACATCTCATCTAAAATCCCCACCCCTCTCACTGCTGCCTTTTCAACTTCTGAACATAAAATTATATCTGCATGCTAGAAACAGTTTATATCCTGCCACCGTGATTCAACTATGAATGACATTAAGTGAGATTCTAATAGAATGAAGGCAAGAAAAAGAGTCTTTCTGAACAAATGTATCATTTGTAAGTGGCTGGGTTAATAAATGTATCTGTTCTACCTGATATAATAATCATCATTCCATGTGCCTACTATGTACTAACTACTGCCACAAGTAATGCACACATATTAGCTTAGTTAACCATCACAACACAATAAAGCTTTACTTCTTCATTTGAAAGAGGAAAAATCTAATGCTCAAACATGTTGCATAAATTCTCTGAAGTTACGCTGCTCCTAAGTGATAGAACTAGGATTGAAATATTTGTGTTTTAAACCATACACCTTGCTACCTCCTCTAAAACCCCAAGGGGATTCAAAGGACTGTTTTAAGTAGTGGTTATGACAGGAAAGCACCAACGTTCTTAGTATTGGTAATCTTCATGTTCTAATACTAGAATTCATATTAAACTTTCACACTTGTACTCTGATTCTTCTCTTAAGTCCTAAATAATCCTACAGTCAATTGTTTACTTAGAAATATGTTCATCCACTCTGCGTTTATGATCAGAGAAGCCCTGAAAAGGCAATAGTAACACACATCGTCCCTAAGTGAAACAATCACCTTCCAACAATTTTGCATTTCTCATCATTCACCATTCCTGGGATCTCTTAGGATCGTGTTTCTTTGTCTCTTCTATCACCCTTAGTCTCACCTTACTTCCATCTCTGTGTGTGTGTCTTGTACTGATTCCTGTTCTCAGGATCATGGCTGAGCTCAAGTATTAGTCACATATGGAGTAAACCAGCAGACTACGTGCTCTTTTCACTCATACCTTCCCCCTTGACAGCAACACTCTCCCCACGTGCTTCCAGATCCCCAAAGTGCAGAATCTTAGTGGGCAGCAGCAGAGATCAAGAAGAGACAGGAAGAAGAAGGAAGTCAGTCACAGAGTGGAGAGAAACACATAAGGATGCCTAATCCCTAAAAGCCAAGGACCCTTATTTGATTTGATTGACAAGGGAACTGCTGTAGGACAATGCTTAAAGGCGCGAGCTTTAGGGTCAAAGTGTATAGTCTGGAACCCCAGCATTTACCGAATCCAGTCCTGGGAACGTGATCTGACATCTCTGTGTCTCTGTCACCTCACATAGGAGATGGTATATATAAACCTCTGAGCTAAACATTTGGTGATGATAGTGTGTAATCCACTAGTATCAGCTATAATTACTTAGAGACATAAAGCTTTAGCCTTGAGTGACCTTCTAGAAGTCAATTCCTAATTTTATTGATAGAGAAACTGAGAAAGAGAACGGAAGTAATTTGTCTGAAGATACCTAGCCAGATTTTCCTACTCAGCTGGCCAGGGTATTTGCCATACTATCACCAGCCTTTCTAGAAATTTCTTGATCACAGAGCCTTCTATATTGTTTATACTTCATATTTAAAGACCAATGTCTGTAATTTGTTTTTCCTCTTTAAGTTGATGGATTTATGGTGAGCCATTATCTCACCTATCTGCTCTGAGGGAAGGACAGAAAACTAGACAGGATTAGATATGCCAGAGATGGCATGGATCACAGTGGAGTAAACAGCATCAACCACAGCCTCACAAATATGCCGTGGGCAATGAAGTAATCAGTCTCACACAGACCTGGACTAAAAAAACAAAAAACATGTGGCCATACTGACCACAGAGCTCATCCCTCTAATTCCCTGACAACTGTAGGTTGATAAAAACAGGTCCTAATGTACATTAAAAGGCCTGTGCACAAATACATTCAATGAATTAAATTCATGTCTTCATTAATCTAAAAAACAAAGACAAAAAATTTAATAGTCTTAATTCTGAATTGACTGGAACAAAACGATAAGACTATTCGATTCACGTGATGGTGGTCTAGTCCTAAGCAAAGTCTGAGAACCTCCCCTGAGCTTAACAGTCCTGGGGAATAAATAAATCAAATGTGATTGATATCTCTCACAGGACCCTACAGAACATTCATCTGGGTATAGAAAGAATTAATAACTCTGGGTCCAGACTCTGAGGACTTAGCCTGGATGTGGTCCTGCCCTAGAGAGCAGCCTGAGAGCCTTCCCGGGGTCTGAGGAGGCTTTCAGGTAAGGAAGGACACCACTTGCTTAATTCTTGCTTATCCCAAATTAAATCTCTTCATCTAGCCTATGCGTTACCCTTTTCATTGGTGGTGGCAGTGGTTTAGTTGCTAAGTTGTGTCCAATTCTATTGAGACCCCATGGACTGTAGACTACCAAGCTCCTCTTGGTCCATGTGGTTTACCAGGCAAGAATACTGTAATGGGTTGCCATTTCCATCTCCAGGGGATCTGCCCCACCCAGGGATCAAACCTGCATCTCCTACATTGCAAGAGGATTCTTTAATACTAAGCCACCAAAGAAGTCCACCATCTTCATTGCTAGTCCTTGAATCTCCATGCAGACTTCTCCTTTCGATTTAAACCTTCCAAAGGTATCTGATGATAGCCAGGTGGAAATGAGGGTGGTGGGGTTTGGGGGTTTTTGCTTTTTTATATTTTCTTCAAAAGTGTAGTTTTAGTCTCACAGCACAATTGAGCAGAAGGTACAGAGATTCCCATATTCTGTCTCACCTCATACATGCATAGCTTCCCCTCCTGCATCACCAACATTCCCCCAAGTGGCAGAGTTCTCTTCACTGCTCTCATTCACACTATGAAAATTTTTTTAACTCCCTCTTTGATACAAACTGGCAGTTGCCATAGGAAATATTGAAACATATCTTGTTTTCCCTTTTGCAAGTTTATTTCTGCCTGGGAGGTGCTTCTGTTTTTATTAAAACCATAAAAGCCTCTCCTCCCACCACACTGGCACCGCACACACAGAGAGGTTGGGAAAACATTTTAATTATTCCAAACCACAGCATCTGAGGTACTTCTGAGCAACTACAAAGAAGGAAGCTTTAGAGACACACAGAGCAAAACTAAAGGCTGAATAAACTAAAATCTGAGGTGCTGGCCATAGCCAGTCACACTGCAAAAGCCAGAACTTGGACTTCTAATCCCAGGACAGATCTCTTTCTACTTGGGGGGACTTTTTAGATGCTGTCACCTCTGATGAATTACATCCGAGAATTCATTAGTGAAACACCCTTTGGAGGGGCAGAGGGCCCGGGTGGCCAGGTCCCTCTGAGAATGAATCACTGCTCTAAGACAAAGTGCTGTGAGAAAGAGGATGATGATGATGTGTGTGTGTGTTCAAGTGTAGGGGTGGCAGAGGGTAGGCTGGGTGTGGGTGTGGGTGTGTACAAGTGAGGGGTGGTGGAGGGTGGGCTGCATTTCCTTAAGGATGGGTGTGTGTGCTTAGTCAAGTCCTAGTCATTGAGGTACTTTTTGAGACCCCACAGACTGTAACCCACTCAGCTCCTCTGTCCACACAATTTTCCAAGCAAGAATACCAAAGTGAGTTGCCACTTCCTTCTCCAGGAGATCTTCCAGACCCAGGGACTGAACCCGTGTCTCTTGCCTTTCCTGCACTGGTAGGCAGATTTTTTTTTTTTTACCTCTGCACCACCAGGGAAGCTCAAAAGACAAATATTTTGGCCAAGCTGAGATGTAATTGGGCAGAGTGGGCTGAGAAACAGAGTACTGCATATGCTATCAACTTGCTGTATGGTCTTATGGAAATCACGTTTCCTCTCTGGGTCTCAGTTTCCTAATAAATAAAGTATCAACATTTCCTTTATGATTCTAAGAGAGACCTCGAAGGGAAGAAAGGGCACTGGGAGGAAAGGAAAATGGGGAGGAGGCTGAACGGAAAGGGAGGAAGGTGTGTGAGGGAGGTTAGAGGGGTGGAGAGCCATAGAAATGTCTTTTGATCGGCGGGGGGAAAGTCGAAAATGAAACTGTGCGTCCCTTGAGGTCTTAATTTTTCATCTTGGCATTTTTTAGTGTTTAGACATACGTAGTCATTTTTGGATAAATGTGGATTGAATGAACGGAAAGCCTGGGAAGGCTCACAGAGGAAAAGGGCAAGGGGAGAAAAAGGAGGAAACGAGCGGCACCGGGACACTATGCGTACCTGATGCTCCTCGAGTTGTCCCCACTTGGCGGTCTGGACCTTGCCCCCAGAGTTCGGTCCCCATCGCGGGCTCCCGCGCTCCCTCTCGCTTCCCCGCAACCCGCCCGGAAACCGCCAGAGGGCGCTGCGCGGCGGCCGGGTCAGGCCGGGGGCGGGGCTGCTTTAAATCGCGGCGCCCAGCGGGTCTGCATCTCAGTCGCAGTCCCGGAGCAGGCCCAGCTTCTCACCTCCGAACTGCAGCCCCGACCGAGACGCGGACCCGGACCTGGAGCGGGTCCCGGAGCTTCTCCGACGTCAGCGCAGGGAGCAGGATTCCCTGCAATAACTTCCTCCGCTAGGCTCCGTCACCCCCGCGAGTCCCGGGTGCGCACCTGCAAACTCCGCCTTGTGCACCTGCTGCCCCTGAGCCAGCGCGGGCGCCCGAGCGAGTCATGGCCAACGCGGGGTTGCAGCTGCTGGGCTTCATCCTGGCGTTTCTGGGCTGGATCGGCTCCATCGTCAGCACGGCGCTGCCCCAGTGGAAAGTTTACTCCTATGCTAGTGACAACATCGTGACGGCCCAGGCCATCTACGAGGGGCTGTGGATGTCCTGCGTGTCGCAGAGCACCGGGCAGATCCAGTGCAAAGTCTTCGACTCCTTGCTGAATCTGAACAGTGAGTGCCTTCCCCACTCCCCCAGCTGTGACTCAGGGTGGTGTAATGTTAATCCTTCAGTCGTGTCCGACTCTTTGCCACCCCACAGACTGTAGCCCGCTAGGCTTCTCTGTCCTTGGGCTTCTCCAGGCAAGAATACTGGAGTGGGGTCGCCATTTCCTCCTCCAGGGGATCTTCCCGACCCAGAGATCGAACCCGGGTCTTCTGGATTGCCGACAGATTCTTTACTGTCTGAGCTACAGGGACCCAACCCCAAATGGCTCCCTTTTGGAGTAGTGGCTATCAAATGGTTCTGTTGTGTGATAACATGTCTGTCAACCTTCAGTGGATCAAGTCTTCTGATCCTGTGCCCCGCCATAAGGTAGTAGAGAGAACCCTGGTTTGGGGAAAAGGGACAACCGGACCTAAGCTCTAATTTTTCTTCTAACTCCCTAGATGACACTCTTCTCATGGTGTGGGTTTCATCTTACATACCCATGAATGGGGTGGCGATTGAGAAAGTGGGAGCCAAACTCGAATTTGAGCTCTTAGGCCTTTCCTGGACATTCTCAGATTCTGTGAAAATTAAAGAACTGTAGGGTTAGGGCAAGAAAATGATGTGCCTTGAAAAGTTTGGAGCCTGAAAGCGTCTCCAGTTTGTAAAATTAAATAAATAATGCCAGTTATTAAGTATAACTGTTTTCTCTATCTCTACTATGAGTTATCATGAGAAGAAATCATGTTCCTACATAGACTGTCACAACCTAGTGTCTTCTCACACTTGAGTTTGAATCTTCTGATTCTTTTGACTTCTAAAATCCAGTTAGTGTGAAGAGGGGCTTCCTCAGTGGCTCCGTGGTAAAGAATCCGCCTGCAGTGAGGGAGACCTGGGTTCTATCCCTGGGTCAGGAAGATCCTCTGGAGAAGGAAATGGCAACCCACTCCAGTATTCTTGCCTGGAGAATCCCATGGACAGAGGAGCCTGGCAAGCTACAGNGTCAGGAAGATCCTCTGGAGAAGGAAATGGCAACCCACTCCAGTATTCTTGCCTGGAGAATCCCATGGACAGAGGAGCCTGGCAAGCTACAGTCCATGGGGTTGCAGACTCTCAGATACGACTGAGGAAATAGATAAGTGTGAGGAAGTCTCTCCCTCCAGTGACTCCTTCAAGAAGTACTCTCTTAAGATTCCCCAGAAGGTTTAGTTCTCAGACCAGGAGTCTTCAGAGGAGATAGATTGTATGGTCTTATTTTGGAAAGTGAAGGTGGGTGGCAGGTGGAAAAAGGATGAGAAGAAAGAGAAATTCAAAATTACCTCCCTGCATTATATAAAGGAAAAAATGAAGCCACTGAGGAGAGACAGCTGATGAATGCAGAAGTCAGGAGAGAGAGGGCAGGTCTTCTCTGAGTTTCTGTTTTCCACAGAGGAAATTCTATGTAATGACTGCTGGCTTCTTTCTTTCATAAGTTTGTGCAGGATCATGTAGAGAGAAATAGCCCTAGATATGGTGGAGAGAAGGGTGACAGGATGGATTTTTTCTTTTACTGTTTTTTAAAATAAAAAGTTCTGAGTGTTTTGTCAGAAATTCATTAAATTCCTGCTTACTTAGGTAATAACAATTCATCGCTAGAGTAGCTTCCTTGAGACATGACATTAGTTGTCCTGAACTTGTGTCTGTCATGCACTTGAACTAACTTGAATAAAAGCTTCCTTAGCCTTGGCCTAGACAAACAAGCCTGCCCACCAGTCCCCTTTGTGTGCTGATGGCAAGCAGTGTTCAAGCCGTCGCTCAAGTTTACTTCAGTTGCTTTGTCCACCTCCTGTGTGTGGTTTTGTCAAAAGCCATGCCCTTTAGAGTTGTTCACTCTGTTCCAAATCTGTTTAAAACTCTTGAGTACCTGTGGAATTTGTGAGTCAGTGTACACATGGCGGTTTTTAGTGTTGCCATTTCAGCTTTTCAGAGTTCCCATATTAGGATTCTTTTATGCCAAATATAATGAGTACATTAAGTATATGCCTTTATATAATCATTGAATCTCCTCATGGATGGATAAATATGTGTAAGGAATTGTATGGCATTTGGCATGTCATATTGAAGCCCTGGCAGATGGAGATGGTTCTAAGGACAATTCCAGGTATAGCTCTGATTCCTCTGATCAAAATGATTCATTTTCTTATTTTTAAGTATCTTTCAAATTATATTTATTCAGCTGCCCCGGGTCTCAGTTGTGCCACTCAGGCTCTTTGATCTTTTGGGGGGCACCTTGGATCTTTTACTTATGGCATGTGGGATCTAGTTCCCTGACCAGGAATTGAACCTGGCTCCCCTGCACTGGGAGTGTAGAGTCTTGGCCCCTGGACCACCAGGGAAGTACTAGTAGTTCATTTTCAACATGTTCAAATAGACTTCCTTTTACCTTCCTTAAACGGCCAAATGAAATCAGATCGACCCATGTTGTAATTACCGAAACAGGTTATCCCTACGCATGATGATGTGTTAAAATGTTTTATTTTCATTTATTCCTAGTTAACATAACTGTTATGATTTTTAAAACTATGGTGGAAGATCTAAACAATACCTTTCCTTTACCCATTTTGGAGATTGCTTTCTGATGATTTTTTTTTTTAACTCCACGTCAGTTCCTATTTTCCTTTTGGTTAATGCCAGTGTTTATCGACGGTGGGGCTGAGGCCTTTCTCTCAAAACTGGCTCTCAGAAGAGAGAGTCTTGACTCACAGGTATACTTCCCAACCTGCCAGTGACTCATTAGATGCCTTTGGATGGAGCCCAGAGAGCCTACCTGTCTCCATTTCTCCACCTGGACAGTTGTGCTCACGCCCACCTGATGTAGAGACCTGAGAGGTGATTCACTGGCTGTTTTTGGTGTAGTAGCATGATATCCAGAGGTGAACAGGCTTATCTGTACATATAACTAGTGCTCCTTGAAGTAAGTTGCACTCCACAAAGTGCTTTTAGGTGACAAACTTAGAAGTTTCTTAAAATTGTAGCTTGTTCTCTTTGCCAGTGGAGCCCACCTGGCAATTTAGGGCTCAGATTCTGGGATTTATAGAGGTTATAGCACTAGATGTGCTAAGATCCCTGGTTTCCCTCTCTAACTAGTGTCAGCTGCAAAGAGCACACGGCAGTGTCTGAAGGGATGCAGTGTGCTTAAGGCAATATCAAAAATGAGATAGAGCAAAGCTTCTTTAGATGGTTCTTACAAAGCAGTTTATGAAAATGTAACTGGGGAACTTCCTGGGTAAACAAATAATACACCATGGATTGTGGTTTTACTGTGGCTGAGACAGTTTCACTTCCATCCAAGAATCGATGTTTATTGACACTGATGACTGATAGTTGGAATATGCAAAAGAGAGTGCCAGATAGAGTTGCTTTTCTTGACTAAACTGTACATCTTGCCTTGTTTTGATTCAGTTTTCAAACTTTTGGCAAGCTAGTTCCTATTTCATGTGCTTAGTTAATTGCTTCTCCTGGCTTGAATTTAATAGCTAGAGCTGTCCAAAGACTGGGTTGCCCCAGGAGGTTGCATGGTGGGAGGTGTGCCGGCAGAGGAATAAATAAGCATTTTGAAAGAATGCTGTAGGGAAAATCCAAGTCCCAGACAAATGGGAGGTTAGGCTAGACTCTCTGTAAGTCTCATCTAACCTTAGGATTCTGTAATTTGTTTATAAGCTCCTCTGGCCTGTTCAACTTGCTTTACATGAATCCACATGTGTGTAGGTGCGCTTTAATGAGTATTGGTTGTCGGTGAATTTCCCAGAACTCTCACCATGATGTCAGGCTCAATCAAAGAATAAAATGACTGAGTTGGATGGTCTTTGACACAGAGGCAGAGATGAAGGCACCTCCTTACACTTCCCTAGACTGCATTAGGCCTGATGAACCACTGGTGTTTAAGGGGCCATTTGTGTTCAGATCTGTTTTAAGAATTAGTTCTCATTTTTGGAATGATGAAAGTCAAAACCCAAGTTTTGAATACTCAAACTTGAATACTCAGTTCTGACCCTGGTTCTACACGAACTAGCTGGTGTTTATAATGGTGAGCCACTTGATCTCTCTGGACTGTAGTTTCCCTCCTTATAAAGTAGGGCAGAGTGGGAGGAATAGGGAGATGAATCCATGACTCATTCATCCATTCAACCAGCCTGAGCCAGGCCCTATCCTTATTCCTAGAAGTGCAGCTAAGATGACTGATAATGTGCAAATGTTGATTCCTTTCAGCACCAACAGTCTTTGTTACTAACTGCCATGATGCAAAGGACATAGGCAAGTGGCAGAGTTTAGGCTTCCTTGACTGGAGTGATGACTCAGTGGCACAGAAGTAACACAGAAGCATACATTTAATCATGAGACAATTTCTTGTAAGAAACAAAAAATGATAGCAAAAATGTTTGGAACATCCTGAAAAGTGGTTAAGTCCTGCCTTATGCCAGACCACAGTTATTGACTGTGCTGGAGTCTTGAGGTCACACCCAGTGGCCACCAGTTCATACATCAATCAAATGGAAATGCTAACAGTGAAGACTCTTGAGAAACTTTGAACTTGACTAAAAGTGAACAATTTAATAAGTGAAGATGTCATGGGAGTATAGCTCTGTGACACTCTGTGATGAGTTCATTTAATTGCAGAAGAGAAAAGAGGATTTTTGTTCTAGTCATCCAGTGGTCAGTTTATCTGCTTAATACTTGTTAAGCAACTACTGATGCAAAGAGGGACTGCATGAAGATAGAGATATAATTAAAATCTTCTTTATTTATGACATATAATAGGGTAATAATATAGTAATATGGCTAGTAAATAGCATGAACAATGCCAGTTATTTAAAGAAGTTTTGCTGCTTGTATAGTAAGACTTTAGAAATGCTTTAGGAAAAAAAAAAAAATTCCACTGACTTGTCTCTGCTTGTCTTTCTACGCCTATGTTGATTAACCTCTCTGTAGTAGATCAGTAACTTCTAACTCATTTCTTGTCTCGTAAGTAGAGATCTTTGTAAATATGTTTTCAAATTATACTTTCAGGTTGCAAGTGTTGAAAACTCCTTAGGGAGTCTTTAATCTCAAGATTATCAGTCTAGCTAAGTATAATTAAAAGACCGCCTTCTCCATGTACTGCTGAATAATTATGAGGAACAATAAACAGTGTACCTTTTTGAATGTTTGCTAACCATTTTCTCCAAAGACAGTTTTAATCGGTGGTAATAATATTGTAGAGGCAAATTTAATGGGCCAAAAAGGAACATACTTGCTTCAGATTGGAGCCACTCAGGTCAACTCAGAGTTAATAGTTCAAGACTTTATCTCTCTGGCCTAAAATATTTGGTGGCTTTCAACTTCTCTGCCCTGCTGGTCATTGTTCCACTAGGAAAAAACTTCATCTTGGAAGCTCATTAGATGCATAATTTAGAAACTTTTTAAAAATTAGATTCGGTTAAACAAAAAGTATGATTTTTTTCTCTGTAGGTGAATTTCTAGCTTTTAATAATCTAAACTAGATCTGGCTTTATGTAGCAAGATTTTAGTATCTTGAGGCTTTCTAAGAGGTGTTTCTCAGTATTATTTCAAAAATTAAGCTTAACACAAAAGATATTTTTACCTATTATATATTAATTTTTAAAAGATAAAGACATATTAAAATTTAAATTAATTGATCCCAGATTGAATAATCCATGAAGCTTGCCAGGCACTGTTCTAAGTGCTTTGAATAGAAATATGAACAAATATTTGGCCAAGTTATCAAGGAGCCCACAATTACATATTTTAGCTCTCTGACTTAAAAGGCTTCCATAAGACGTTAATTTGAAGGATTCATCTGGTTCCAGCTTAAAACTGTGCAATAGATTCTATCTGCATGTAAAACCCTCATAACTTGTAACGTAACACTTGCTTACTTTGATTTGTAATCCACCATTACATGTGCCCAACTAGTGAGTTTTCATGCTGTTATGATTCTCAGCCTTTTTTTCCCTATGTTTACATTTCTCCCCACATATCACTATAGTTAAGAATTCATCCAAATATCTCCAGTGATGCAAGATGAGATTTTGTGTTTGATGCCCATCTAGTATTGTAAAATACAGACATTTCCTAAGCCAGTGGATGTCAGGACATAAATGAAAAAATACTGCTTCACAAAATAACACTATTGCTTTATCAGATTTTTTAAAATGAAACATGATCTCCTTGCAATATATGGTTTATATGATTCCTGAGTGTAAGTTCTCCCCCATTTTTTCCATTATTTTTGTGCATTATGCAAATAATTATTTATACTATAAGGCTTACTAGGGTTTGTAGCACACAGAACAAAATATCTGTTCCTTTCCCCTTAGAAATTTTGTAAAGTAGTGGAAAGAATAAAATGGGGTGTGAATTAAATGTGTTTTCTTTGAGAACTGAAAGGAGAACAAACTCAAGAGATGAAGACTGTGAAAAGGAGATAATCCCAGGCAAGTGCAGGTGGAGTCCTGAAGTGGTCAATCCATGTACGCTCCCTGCCTGGGTGGTTTTATATAGGCCTGACTCAGGAGCTTGAGGCACAGCAGACTCCTCGTGAAGAGTAGCTTGTGATCCAAGTGCTCAGACCTGCTGGGCTGGTGGCCTGCTGTTTACACATGAAGTACAGATCAGAATGATTATAGAAGCTGGATCTGGCTTGAAGCCCTACAACTCAAAGTAGAAAACTTAGACATCAGAGAAAGCAACCAAAGTGATGAATAAAGGTTGGAAAATTGAGCTTAATGGACAGACAGAGCAAAAGGTGGTTGAGAGAAGTAAAAGGCTATACATATTTGAAGGGCTGTCAGAGGAAGACAGAGGGTAAAAAATCTTTTCATTCCTCCTTTAAGATCCTAAATGGCTTCTGCTCACATTTAGAATAAACTCCAAACCCTTTTCCCTAGCTTGCAAAATTGTACATGATAAATGCCTTCTTCTTACCTTGCTAACCCTCTTCATTTTACTTTCCACATCCAACCATCTTCCAATAGTGGCTAGCTTTCCCAGTTTGTCCAGGATTGAAGACCTTCTCAGAAGGCAGGACTTGTAGTTTTAAATCCTAGAGAGCCAGGCAAAATGGATGAGTGGTCACCCTGTCCTCCACATGAATCATCTCTTGAGACTTTCAGCATCTCCTTTTCCAGTGTTCCTTTGACTGAAATGCTTTCTTTCTGAGTGGCACTTAGGACCAGATTGGAAAACTCTGTTATGTAGAAGAGGATATTTATTTTATTTTTTATTTTCCTTCTGAGCATGATTGCCTTTGCAAAACTGTTGGCAAACCAGAAGGAAGGACACACCATAATTATGGAGTCCTTGGTACTTTTCTCTTCATACCACAGTATCGTTGGTGATTCAAAGGGAGATTTCATAATAATCTTATAAGCAGCTATAATTCCTGGTAACCCATGATCCATGAAATGTGTTTTGATTCAGAAGTTCTTGTGCCAACCTTCAATCTTCAAATAAGTGTATAAGTTGGGTGCACACTTGCCCACAGGTGTTTATGGGCAAATGAATCTATGACAGGCACATGAGAATGCCTTTGGTTTGCTTTTTAATTAAATCAAGTAAAACTTTATCTTGGCTTCCCAAATATCTCTCATATACAGTCAAGAAATGTCTTTGATACTTTCAGAAAGAGCTTACTATGATTTTATCATAGATTGCCTGGTTATGCAAGGATGAAATTATTAACAAATTTAAATAAATTGATGTTTTAGAACTCTTTAGTGTTAATTATGATGTGTAGCCTAAATTCTCAACCCTAAAATTACTGACACTGAGCCTAAGTCTAAATTAGATACTGAGATATAAAACCTTTCTATCATGTCACCCAGTGTTGAGACCATTAGGAAGTCAATTGTTCCAACTTCCTGGTTAGAGATATCATCATTCACACTTTATGTAATAAAAACATGGTCCTAGAGAATAGTAACCTGCTTACCCATAACATAGCACACTTTGTTATTATAATGTAAATAATTTTTATATTTGCAAAAAGACTTGTCATATGTTAACACTGTCAAAGAAATAATGATCTTTATTTGACTGAGGAAATGAATCTAAAGTCAAACTCATCTAACCAGTGTAGTTTCAGCTCACTTTTCTTTGAAAATTTGTGCCTTTATGCCATAGGGATGGCATCACGCTTTTACTCTTTAATATATTTACTGGTATATTTCAAACCTGGCCCTATATATTTGATCATGACTTAGTATACCAATGACAAGAACAAGAAATTAGAAAATTAGTGGAATCCTAAGAAGTGCTACATTGAATTACTGTCAGCCATTTTAGAACATAGTAATTTAAATAGTTTAAAACACCCAGTGATATTTCTGAATATAAACCTACTATGTTCCAAAATAACATCTCAAAGGCCATTATGTTTTGTTCTGAGAAAATGGTTTTCAGATCGCCCACCCCACCCACATCACTGGAGACATGTGTTGCTTATCCAGCTAAGATAACCTATGAGAAATTCATTTCTTGTCTTCCAAATTCACTCACCCAGATTTTCCCCAGCTTGATGACTGAAGTGTAAAGCTATTGACTGTTACCAAGATATATTGTAAACCATTTAAAGTATAAATGGTTTAACATTAAGGATAATATATGATTGTTATTTCAGAATTGAAATTCTCCATTAGTAAGAATTAACAATGTGTTCTAAGCCTATTCAACCAAATCATTAATTATTTTTCAGAGGATTTTGAATATAATGTTAAAAATATAAGCTGTTAGAGCTGGAGCAATTCTTATTTATCATTCAGCCAGATATTTGTTTTTCTGGAGGAGAAACTATGTTGGTTTCCTGCAAAGGCATCACTAGAACCGGGGTCTCCTGACTTCTGGTTATGTTTTCTGTCTTCCATACAACACTGAAATATACTTGACTTTCTACCACTCTTCTCTTGTTGGTCTAGGCATGATTGTTACGTGTTTTAAAATGTTTTTTGTCAGGCACTCTGCAAGCAACCCGTGCCTTGATGGTGATTGGCATCCTGCTGGGACTAATAGCCATCTTTGTGGCCACCGTTGGCATGAAGTGTATGAAGTGCATGGAAGATGATGAGGCACAGAAGATGCGGATGGCTGTCTTTGGGGGCGTGATCTTTCTTATTTCAGGTAAGAGAGGCCCTGTCCCTCTTAGACCTTATCAAACTCTTTCTGACATTTTTTAAGGTCTAGTTTTTGGCTTCCTTAGATAATGTTGGATTTATGTTGGCTTTATTGCTCTTGAATCAATTGAATTCAGTTCCTTTAAAATATGAAGACATAGAAACTTTAAATCCAGTTGACTTTCACATCCTCAAATGGGAACTGAATAAAAATCTGAAATCTGTGTTCACAGTGGACAGGTCTATTCCCTGAGGTTTCAGGTGCCAACTGGTTCATTAGAAACAGTCTCCTCAAGTGAAGGGAGAGATTTTTTTGATCTAGCAAATACTGAGGACCAATTCTGTGTAATTCAGAAAATTTCTGTGGTGTCTCTCCTGATACTACATGGGAAAGATGGGGAATGGTGAGAGAGAGCATGAAGAAGGTATAATTATACAAGTGTGAATGAATGGAATGAATGGGGCTGGGATTATTGGAGGAAGAGGAGGATATTATTCCATATAAGCAGTACTGATTCTGGAATGAACAGGTTTTACCCATAGATCAATGAAAAGAAAGGGCATTTAGAGTTCAGGTGGAATGTTGGAATGGTAGGAAATGAGAAAAAATGAGTTAAGAAAGAAAAATAATACAGAAAATCTTGGAATAAAAACCTTGATAAAAGAGTGAGGTTATATTTTCCATAGAAAATAAATATGTATTTATTGCTTTATTCAAATCTTATTTTGTGACCTTTGAGAAAATGAGATAGAAGAGGACATGGACAGTTAATTTGTAAAATCTTATAATAAAGTTAATATTAAATAAGTGTGCATATAACATTGTGCATGTATATAAAATAATAAACTATTATATGTCATATACAGTAGGTATCTATTGTTTTGAAATAGACTATTACATATGCTTTCCTGATGGCTCAACAATAAAGAATCTGCCTGCCAATGCAGGAGATACAGGTTTGATCCCTGGGATGGGAAGATTGCCTGGAAAAGGAAATGGAAACCCACTCCAATATTCTTGCCTGGGAAATCCCATGGACAGAGGAGCTTGGCAAGCTACAGACCGTGGGGTCACAAAGAGTCAGACATAACATAGAGACTAAACAGCAATAATAATACTATTACATAAACTATATATGGTAGTCTATTGTTTTTGGAAAGGACATTCCAAAATTCCAAAAGTGGTATAATCTACCACTAGGAAAAACTAGAATTAGATTTTTTCCTCATTTTCTCTTTAATAAAAGTATGTGGATTTCATGAACAATGAAGGAAGAATGCCTGTGGCTTTACTAAACATTTGGTTAAAGATTATTCAAATTGCTACCGCAGAGCATTTTATTCCCAACACTTAGGTTTTACACCAAAGACTAAGAATACACTTACTGAGTAGAACTTGTCCTCTGCTGATCTTCTAGTAACTCCCGTCCATCAGTCCTGCAGTCTCAGGAACTTCCTAGGAGTGAGGGTTGCAAGTTCCAAAGTATTCACATTTTCTACTCAAGCAGCCAAAAGCAACAGTGTTTTCCTTCAAGTATTAGAGACAATTAGGTTGGAACACTTTTTTTGTAGCAGGAAGAGGGCAATGGGTGTAGCATAGAAATATTTAATCTGTCTAAATTGATGAATTTTTAGACTGACTGTGTGCTAAGTCACTTCAGTTGTGTCTGACTCTTTGCGACCCTATGTACTGTAACCTGCTAGGCTCCTCTGTCCACGGGGTTCTCCAGGCAAGAATACTGGAGTGGGTTGCCATGCCCTCCTCCAGGGGATCTTCCTGACCCAGGGATCGAAACCTGTGTCTCTTACATCTCCTGCATTGGCAGGCATTTTCCTTACCACTAGCAGCACCTAAGCCCAGACTATAAAAAGAAATTATTTAGGTTCTTTGGATAAGAAAAATGGAGGTATTGTATACTTATTTTAATAAATGATAGAGTAGATTATTTTGACTAAATGATTTCTGTGGGGCTGCCCAGGTGGCTCAACGGTAGAGAATCCACCTGCTAATACAAGACATGCGGATTCAATCACTGGGTCTGGAAGATCTCCAAGAGGAGGAAATGGCAACCCACTCCAGTATTCTTGCCTGGAAAATCCCGTGGATAGAGGAACCTGGCAAGCTACAATCCAGACAAAGACTGAGCACTGAAATGTGAAAGGCATAAGAAATTGAGAGTGTGCTGCATACGTTGATCTGATGTGGCATCTCAGTGAATCTCATGGCAAGACCTGGAACATCTGGCCAATAGGGGTGTAGGAATTTAGGTGATTGGTGGACTCTGAGCCAGGTCCAATGTGTTCCTGTTATCTAGCTATTTACATTCATTTTGATCCTTCAAAAATGTGAATTTTGCGTTTTGGCCAAGAAGAATGTAGAAGAGTTTTTACCTTCCCTTTTGTAAGTGACGAGCTTTACTAATAAGGTCTTTGGTTTAATCAAAAGTAGTCTAGCACACTAATTTATAACAATCTATTTTAAAGAGATCTTAAATGACATGAATCTCCTGAATGTTTCCAAAAGAATGTTATTTGTGCCAGGGACCTTAAACTGTAAATGAATAAGATGACATGAACACTCATGTGTGTGCCTAACTTCAACCTAGTATTTTTGTCTCTCTTAAGAGAACACTTATAAAAAATCATGTTTAAACCTCTATTCATCCTAAATTAATGTCTTCTGAATTAAAATGGACTAAATTAAAAAGTCAGCATTATTGATGAAATTTCATTCTTGTAAAATGTAAATTTAATAAGCCATGCATTTATGCTCAGTGTTCCATGGTGATTAACAGTCTTTTGTTTTGAATTTCCATAGGTCTGGCTATTTTAGTTGCCACAGCATGGTATGGCAATAGAATTGTTCAAGAATTCTATGACCCCATGACCCCGGTCAATGCCAGGTAATGATAGTCACATATAAAATTGTTTGTTCTCTGAGAAAATACCCTTTTATGTTCTGTAAAGTCCTGTTAGTATGGTGAGTTCTCAGACTTGCTATCCAGAATTTTATGGAATTTTCTGCAAAAATTGAAAATAACTTGAATGGCCTGTGACATATTAAAAATAGTTTTATAATTACTTTAACAGCATGTATTGGTGACAAAATAAACTTCAAAGTAGAAAAGTTCCAAGCTGTATACTTTCCAAATGGAAAAGTATGCTGGACCTTTTTTCATATTTTTAATTTTTGTTTAATATTCATAAAAATACCAATATATTTGAAACTTCATTTTTGAAGTATATTCTGATACAGCACTTAATTGTGATTATTTGTAACAAAACACAGTTTATGACTGATCGCAAAAACAGTTCTATTGTAGAGGTTAATAACCTCTAACAGAAACTTCATTCCTAACAATTTTATTTATTAAAAAAAACAATTTTATTTATGAAAAGGATTAGTTACCACTATGATATTTTGTGTCTCATCACATCCATAAAATAATTTTAGAAAGATCATCCTTCTTAATATTGCAAGTTGTGGAAGTTAAAGAGCTGACTCTTGGCTCTCATGTAATGATACCCTTTGATCAGAGACAAGGTTCTTTGTCTCACTGTGTTCACTGCCTAATAACTATATTCAGAGTTGGGATGTTAAGATGTAATTATTGTTTGTTGAGTGCTAAGATGAATGGATGAAAAATGCTAGTGGTAGAGAGATAAGGTGTGCTTCTTTGTTTATAATCACCCATGTATAGGAAAACACATATTGCCGTGATGGTGTTGGAACCCATCCCATAAGACTACAAAGTAGGGACAGAAACTGCTGGAGGTCAATAGGCTAAAATTTTACCTATTGGATATGAAAGCACTTTATAAATTGCCAGGCACTATATCCTTACTTCCACTGTCTCACATGATCCTTAAAGTAGTACAGTGAGGAAGGTGGGATCATTTTAAGAGAAGCAGCTGCTGAGGTTGAGACATGGAGTTTGTGGCCCACAATTCAGTAGCTGAGAGTTTGCATCAGGATTCAAACTCAGGCCTTATCATTCTAGATCCAACCCTTCTCTTTCCTTATTGTCCACCATCAGTCACAGGTCTTCTCCCAGAAATATGGCTTAATACATCCACTTGGATCAACTTAACCTAGAACAATCAATGGGTTGTTTAGAAGTTTTTTCCTCAAAACCATAGGTCAGATTTCAGTGTTTATCAAGGGTTAACTGTTGAAAAGTCTAATAGTCTCCAAAACACTCTGGCAGGTTTTTTTTTTTTTTAATAGAATACTGTTGCTACTTGGTGATAGCACAACTTGTTAAGTTTTAGCCTAGGAACCATGCTCCAGACCTGATTTTTAAGGTATGTAGCATGCTTTACAAGTCTCCTACACATGGAAAAGTCTTTGGAAATATTTGTGTAATTAACCTGGTGTTACCTGCCACATTGCCTGATCTACTGTTGTAAATTGTCAACAACTGCAATGTGAACGTTCTCGTGTGTGTGTCTAACAAACCTTAAAGTACTTCATAAAACTTAAAGGGATCACAGGGGATTTTTTTTTCAGTGGAAAAAAATATGAGTGTGATATCGATTTCATTCTTTAATTACATTAGAGAAGTTTCCAGTGGTCCATTGATTAAGCAAAGGTATCACCTTTTCTTTTTTAGGTATGAATTTGGTCAGGCTCTCTTCATTGGCTGGGCCGCTGCTTCTCTCTGCCTTCTGGGAGGTGCCCTGCTATGCTGCTCCTGTCCCCGGAAAGCAACATCTTACCCAACACCCAGGCCCTACCCCAAGCCAGCACCTTCCAGTGGGAAAGACTATGTGTGACATAGAAGTGAAAGCTGACAACCCTGTTGGAACCAACAGAAAATGGACATTGAAATATTGGCATTGACATTAAGATCTTAGCTTTTGACTATTGTAGTCTGAACTGTGGTATTACAGCAAAAAACATATTTTTTTAAAAAATATCCATTGCTAAAAATGACTTAGCCTTATCTTATCTCCTTTCCTCAATAGAGAGGGGAAGCGCTTTCCATTTGTATTACTGCTTCCCACTGAGTAATCATCTCAAATGAGGGGAGAGAGCATTTCTTAAATATATATAGATATGTACATAAACATGTTTTTCTATAAAAAATTAGTAAGAGTTCTTATTCTCATTGTATTGGTACCAGTATTCTTAAAACATATCTAAAAAATGAAAAAAATATTTAATTCTTGATTAAGTCATTTATTTGGTATTTTTCAAATTCTTCTTTCTTTATGTATACATATCTAATAGGTCAAATATCACTTACCCTCCTTCAGAAGCTTTTAGTGTCTTTCACAGAAGACCTGACCTGCTTTTACCAAGTATGAATTATTTCAGTTCTTCACATGTGCCCTCTTTATATGTTTGTATCATATTTTTTTTTACCATGATCTTTTAGCACTTGCTGTGTCATCATTCAGTCATTCTTCATGCCTTTGTTTTTTGTGAGGTTGAGCTTAACTCTTGAATCTGATAACACATTTTATATGCCTATAGGTTAATTCCTAAAGTCAGTAAGAGTCTCTTGCAGACCAGAGCTTTGGGAGCAAATCTTTCTGTGTGTGACTAGATGGTATGTTCCTGTTGACTTTCCCATACGCCTCCTGTACCCTGACCTCTAACACACTTATTTGCTTTGAAAATATTTGTCCCATTGAAGAACTGTGTGCCGCTTTTCCAAGTAACACAATTCTATTGATTGAATTTTTTGAGCTACTTATTCACAGTTATATACCCTCCCATACTACCTATTCTTCTCCCCTTCCTTAACTGTATTGTTTTCTTGTATAGCTTACCTCTTCCCAGAGAGGAACAGACTGTTTGAATGAAGTACTCGAATTTCTATAGTGATAATCTGATGACAAATATTCTCTCTGTAGCTTATGGGCAAGTCACTTAATCTTTCTCCTCTTTTCCCATCTGTCAAATTGAGATAATGATAGTTAACCAGCTGGTAGAGTGATGTGAGTATTAATTAGTTGATATTATGCTCATTCTTTGAACATGAAATATGCCTAAGTAGTGTTTCTATTTGCTAAATTGGCTGTTAAGAAGTCGTTGAACCAAACCTACACACAGGCCTTCCCATGGCTAGGCACCTTCCTGTCTCCACAGGCCTGTTTCCTTCCTTTCAGCTGTGGCCACCATTCTGTTCCATTTTAACCATTGCTCTTAGTTTTCCAGTTTGTGGAAAATAACTCCTTCACTTCAGCAAGATGTTGTAATGGAAAGGGTGTTGACTTCAGTGTCTGGAGACTTGATTTGAGTCTTGGTGCTATCAATTACAGTGTCAGTTTGGGCAAGGCACAGGTTGCCCTAGATTTATTGCTTCATTTCTAAAAAGAGGATTGTAATGCCTGAACTGCCTACCTCACAGGGCTATTGAGGGGATCCAGCGAGACAGGATACATGTAAATGTGATTTTGTAAGGTGAAAAGTATTGTACTGGGGAAAAGAATTAAGGAATTTAAGTGCATAGATTTTAGACTACTTTTCAAATGACTGAAAAGAGAAATTTTAAGAAATGGATTTCCTGTCTTAACCAACCTCTCAAGTGAGGAGACAAGTGAATTTCAGCTTGCTAAGTGAAAAAAAAAAAGAGGTTTAAGGAAGTCTTAGTTTTCTTTGATCAGTGTGGCCTGATACTTTTTGTGTGGCTAAGATTTTCTCCTTTCAGGAATGCAGACTTGACCTAGAACAAGTTTGCAGATGTAATGGGTAAAACAGAAGTGTAAGTGTTGACCAAAGAATGGAAGATTTTTTGAGTTTTAATAACTTGTAAGGGTATACAAGATGGATATTGGTTAAGTGATGTTATCAGAGGTATTGCTACTAGCTGGCAGCTAACATAGCTAGGATAGATAGTTTAGAAAAAACCTAGTAAATTTTAGTGTGTCTTCCAAACCTGAAACTCTATGCTCCTAGAATGTATAATTCAAAGAATCTCTGCTACCTTCATAGATCCTAATGATGGGCAAGTATTAATACATGTGGTTACTCGTTGGTAAACTCTGAAAAGAAATCCATAGTACAAAATGGCCAACAGAATTGTGACACCAGAATCTGTCTGACTTTGATATTTTTGTACTCTGCTACCCTACTTGGATAGATATTTCAGGGTTTTGTAATGGGAATTTGTATAAAGCATTATTCTTTTTCAATAAATTTTTTAATATAAATCTTCAGTTTTTATTTTTTAATCATTTATTTCAAGATTGCCTTGCATGGAAGATGAGATGGCTCAAGATAGGATCCGGCTCACCATGTATTCCTGGGAAATAGCTCTGGTGCCTCTGGGCCACCTGTCAAGTATTTGAGTGACTCCACCCACTGGAATGCCCTATTGCTCTCCAACTGTGCTTCATCCTCATCAAGGGTGGTGATAGAAGAGAATGGCAGGAGATTACTTCATTTCTCTCATCCGTAGAAAGGAGACATACTACAGTAAATGACTAAGTAATAAAGTAGTCAATTGTAAAGCACTGTGAAAACTTAAGTTGGTTGTGTTTCCTACAAGTTGGCAGAGTGAAAGACAGCTAGAAATCCATTATTGTTTTTGTAATAATTACCAGGTGGTGCAATGGTAAAGAATCTGCTTGCCAACGAAGGAAATGCAGAAGATGTAGGTTCAATCCCTGGGCTAGGAAGATCCCCTGGAGGCAAAAACAGCAACCCACTCCTGTATTCTTGCCTGGGAAATCCCATGAACAGAGGAGTCTGTCGGACTACAGTCCATGGGGCTGCAAAGAGTTCTACAGGATTGAGCACATGAGCACGCACACGTTACCAAAACTACTTCTTAGGAAAGCACGTGATGAAACTTATTCACTCATTATCTAAAAATATCAGTGATTGATACAGCCTTAGTTGTAACCACTCCTTAAGTAATTTACATAGTACAGAGACAGGCTAGTAAACAAAGGATTGAGCTCTATGTGGAGTTCTATGGGGAGATTAGCCTTAAGGATGAGAGATGAAGATTATTGTCAGTCTCTTTAAATTACGCAGATGTGTCAGGTCACCACTGTTTCTACAGAATTGAAATCTTCTCCTGGATGGGTCCAGGCCCATGAATTTGAGAGGAAGTAAAATCTCTAAGTGCTGCTAAGAACTCTGAAGAGAAAAGCTGGATTGTCAATCATACCAAGTAGACCCCACCTCTGTGTAAGCTCCTCCTTCTGGATGCCACTGTCCTGCAAACCAAGCTGTCTCTCCTCCTCATCAACTAGTACTTTCTATGTGGATCTGTGTCCAAGTCCAGGGACAACTCCATACCATCCCCATATTCCCACATCTGAAAGCCTGCTGTTGGTCCTAGTAAAATCTGGTAATGGACTTTTTTTCCCTTCTTTTTGAGTGTGGCTCAGGTGTAAGATTTCTGCAGTCTCCTTTCCAACCCCAGATATACCTTTAGGTACCCCCAATCTGCCCTAAATTCTCTACAATTAGCTGGTACCTTGGAAACTGGCAGAAGTCACTGCAGTTTCCAGGGTTTTGTAGGGACAGCTTGTTGGATTTAAAAACACAGTGAAAAACACTCTCAATGCTCTGAAACTCTGGAGAACTCATGGTATTTTGACTAATCACCTTCCATTGACAGGTTTTTTCCATATGGCCAATGTCAGCAATTAGACAAGAGATATGGATTTATTCAACTAGTATTTATTAAACACCTACCATAGACTAGTGCCATTAAATGAAGACAAGGCTAAAGGGTATAGGAAATAAATAAGACTCTTTCCTAGGCCCCAGCAGGGTGAAAAGTGTTAAGTGGGAAGAAAAGTAAACTTGAAATCTAGCACTGGTTCTGCCAATGATCAGCCTCAGTGAGCTATAGAGATCTCTATTCACTATTTTTTCATTTGTAAAAGGAAGAGCTTGGCCCCACTCAGAGGTTCTTATCCATAACAATGTGGAAGCTTTTGACCATTGGAGGTTTTTGAAACCTCTGACTTTCAAGGACTTAAACCCAGATTAGGGGAATCAGAATTTCTGAGAAAAGTGTATTAGGTACAAGTTTCCCAGGGGATTCTAATGCACTTTCTGAATTGCGAATCACTGGGCTAGGTTATCTCTCAGGACCAAGTGTGCTCAAAAAATTTTCTGTGTAAACACACATCCAGGTGCTTAGTAGACGACAATATTGTTTATTTACCTTTTCTCTAAGGTCATGGTTCTATTTTATGATTCTAGGTTTTTTTTGTTTGTTTTGGTGAGAGTATTAGCGCAAGTTCAGTAAGGCCAAACAAGCTGAAACATCAGAGTTTGGAGCAGGGAATGTTTTATGGCAGGGCCACTCAAGGGTGACTCCTGTCCTAGAAATCCTGAGTTCCCTGAAGGGTTTCAGCAAAGCACTTTTAAAAGCCGGATGAGGGAATAGGGGTCAAAGGGTATGTGATCAACTTGTGCACAATTCTCTGATTGGCTGATGGTGAGATAACAGGGTGATGTAATAGAGGTTAATATTGACAGTCTTTAGGCTTCAGGAGGCCTGGTGTTATGTGTTCTTGGTCAATGAGTAATTAACATTTTCTATTTGGTGAGGGGTTTTCTCATCTGCAAAACAACTCTGGAAATCACATCAAAAACCAGGTACTTCAGAGAGGAGCTAAAGCAGAGGGTATGGGGAAGGACCTGTCCCTGTCCCCAAGGCCCCAAGGGGTCCTGCTCACTTAAGAAGGGAAGGAATTAAAACGAGGCAGTCTTCAGAAGCTATTGTCATATTTCTTTGGTAAATAACCTTCTTTCTTGTCATTTTCTATTATTTTTAAATCACTCACCGTAATAGTCATTAATACAAAGCAAATTCTCTTTTAAAGAAAGCCTTCTGTTTAACAAATAATATTAGTTCAAGGAGGTAAGTGTTTATTGTATTATAATCAGAGTTATTTTCCTTTGTTACATGAAAATTTCAGAAACATCCTTAGCCAAAGCATAATGTTGCTACATTTATTTTTAATTGTATAACATTTCTGAGGTGTTATTTATGGTTTAATTTCTTTAACTTATTGTTTTGATTGTCTATTCCCCCCAAAAGAAAAAAGTAAACACACATACAAACCAATTGAAGGAAGAAAGTTTGAAAGCTATACAAATATTTCTTAAATGAGATGACCTGAACTAGAGCACTTTCTTCTCCCAAAGGGGTATTTTTTTCTTTTAATTGTTTTGTCCATTAAGTTTCCTGTTTCCATTAATGTTGTGGTTTCCTCAGGTAGCTACTGATGCTGCTTAATTAAAAAAAATCCAACAACCTAAGAGAGACCTGAAACAAGCAGACATCTGAAACAAGGGTCAGGGGTAGCAGAGAACATTTCCTTCTAGATGAGAGTGGAATACAAGTAGAAAAATGACCTCTAATAGAGTGAGGACAAAGGAATTTATTTTTGAGGATAATTTTCACCACAATATTTTTTTTCCTGATAATAAAATTAAAACTAATACAAATTAAAACTAATGCTAATAATAAAGTAGAAAAATATAGAAAGGTAGAAATAATTATTTAAATATTGTAATAGCCATACTGTGCTGTGCTACTCAAAAACAAAATTAATAATTTGATGCAATCTTCTCTAATCATATTTTCTTTCCCAAAGATAAGATTTGGAGATTGTTATCTTTTCACTGTTTTCATAGTATCACAAAGTAAAAATAATTTTGATTTCTTTTTCTTATTCCATTCAAGTATATGGTAACATACTATTACCATTCAGAGTTCATAAACATTCATTCATTCATTCATTCTGATAATATTTTTTTAAGCAGCCAAGTATTTTCTGCCACAAAAGAAACAGTGGACCTGGATTTGTACAATGTAACCAACCATGAATAAAATAGACAAAAAAACCTTCACTTCTAGAACTTACATTCTATATGGGGAATACAGACAATAAGACAAACATGCTAAACATATAGCATAAGAAATGGTAATAAACTGTATAGAAAAAAACTAGAGTAGGCGAGAACTGGGAAGCTTGGACAAGTGTTACAAATATTCAGAGGGCTCATGTAGCTTAATATGAGAAAAACAAACAACCCAATGAATAAATAGACAAGAAGCCCTTAATAGAAATTTCTCCAAAGAAGACATACGGATGGCCAACAAACACAAGAAAAGATGCTCAACAATACTAATTATTAGAGAAATGCAAATCAAAACTACAGTGAGGTATCACCTCACACTGTTCAGAATGACTCTGATCAAAAAGTCTACAAATAATAAATGCTGAAGAGGGTGTGGAAAGAAGGGAACGCTCCTATACTGTTGGTGGGAATGTAGATTGGATCAGCCATTTCGGAGAACAATATGGAGGTTCCTCAAAAAACTGAAAATAGAACTACCATACAACCCAGCAATCCCACTCCTGGGCATATACCCAGAGAAAGCCATAATTCAAAAGGACACATGCACCCCAGTGTTCACGGCAGCACTAGTTACAATAGCCAGAACATGAAAATAACCTAAAAATCTCATCAACAGAGAAATGGATAAAGAAGATGAGACACATACATACAGTGGAACATCACTCAGTCATTCAAAGAAACAAAATAGTGCCATTTTCAGAGACATGGATAGACCTAGTGACTGCCATGCGGAGTGAAATAAGTCAGAAAGAGAAAAACAAATACTGCATAATATCATTTATATGTGGAATTTATAAAAATGATACAGATTAACTTATTTGCAAGACTGAAATAGAAACACAGATGTAAAGAACAAACTTAGGGACACCGACAGAGGAAGAGGAAGTGGAATGAATTGGAAGATTGGGATTGACATATATACACTGTGCTAAGTCCCTTCAGTTGTGTCCGACTCTTTGCAACCCTATGGACTGTAGCCCATCAAGCTCCTCTGTCCATAGAATTCTCCAGGCAAGAATACTGGAGTGGGTTGCCATGCTACTCACTACTAGTATGTACACTACTATGTGTACAATAGATAATTAATGGGAGCCTACTGCATAGCACAAGGAGCTCTATTCAATGCTCTGTTGTGACCTAATTGGGAAGGAAATCTAAAAGAGGGGACATATGTATATGTATAGATGATTTACTTTTTTATATAGCAGAAGCACAACATTGTAAAGCAACTATACTCCAATAAATCTTTTTTGAAATAAAATAATTAAGTCGTGGAAGTCCTCAATGAAAAGCTTATTTTTAAGAAACAATATAT